ACGTTGCCGTGCAACACGGGAGGCTGGGGCAATGATGCATGGTGTGGCATGTTTGAGCAACGCACCACAGCCTCCGTCGCACGAGGTGTCGCAGGAGTCGTCGCAGGTGGTGACACAGTAATCACAGCTGCTGTCGCAACTGCCTGTAAATGGTGGTGCAAATGGAACCAACCAATTGGTGATAGAATGCTGAGTTAACGACACAAGCACACGAGTCAACGGCATCACAAGCGTAAAAGCACGCGCTTGCGGTGTGTGATATGCAGATGGTGCTCGGAAGCACAAGAGAGATTTGCTCTGCACTCACTGTCGCATCCAAGGCTAAAAATGACGCAGCTGGAATCACAGCTGTCATCACAGCTTGAGCAGGACGTCGAACAGCTCCTGAAGGTCACGGACGTGTGAGACAGCTCATGAGCGGTGGGCAGCAGTAGAAGGTACAGGAACAGAAGAAGAGAAGACAACAACAAAAAGCGAGCAAGCGGCCAACATCGATGCGTGCGAACAGCTCCACGCACGCCTGTCTATGTTGAACTTACGAGTCGCATCCAGAGTCGCAATAATAATCGCAGCTGGCAAAGAGAAGCCGGCAAAGGAGAAAGAACAGGGGACAGAAGAACATTCGAGCGGCAACAGGTGAACAGTGTGAGGTCATGCACGTGTTGGGTTGCCGTGCAAGCTCAAACAGGACTCGCGCCAGCATGTTGCACAAGCGTGTGTGTGTGTGTGTGTGTGTTTGGAATGTATGGAGACGAGCTTCCTTACCCGTAATCGCAGCCAGCGTTGCAGTAGTCATCACAGTAGTCGTCACAACCACCTGTGTGATGTTGCACAATAGCAGCCAAACAGCACGTGAGGATCTCAAGTGCGTGTTACGTGGGGAAATGCCGAACTCAGAGTTGTGGCGTTTTGGCACAAGCACGTGCATCGATAGGCTGTTGGTGCCCCATGCGTACCATTGCATGATGAGTCACAGCCGGAGTAACAAGTGTCACAACCGTCATCACAGCCAGTGTTGCACCTGTGTAAGTTGTGCGTGTGTGCGTGCGTGCATGTGTGTGTGTATGTGTGTATGTGCGCGTATACGTGTGTGTGAGGGAGGGAAGAGCTAGAGGTTGCACAGAACGGGTCGAGCACAGGTTAAGATGCAGCGAAGGCACCCAACAATGTGCCAAGCGAGCAGGCGACTGCCAACTGACTTGTAGTAGTCGCAGCCGCTGTCGCAGCCGTAATCACACCCCGTGTCACATCCGTCATCACAAAGGTTGCAACTGAGTGTGTGTTTATGTGTGCGTGTGTCGTGACAAGGATGCGTCAGTGCAAGGCGAAAGGTATGGGGTCAAGGCACACAGTAACTTTTGCCTGCACACATGCACAACATAAGTGTCCAAATACACGGATGTCAACCCGATCAAACCTTGAATCACAGCCGCTGTCGCAGCTGGTGTCACAGCTTTGTGTGCAACTTTGACTGTCAAGAAATCGAAGAGGGAATGGATGCAAACACGAGTGAGTCGCAACAAACAAGGCGTGTGGTGTGGAGCGATGGCCACATGTGCGTGTGTGTGTGTGTTTCGTGTAAGGACACTTCGATGGTTTGCACATGGTTTGCATACCTATCACATCCGGTGTCGCAGCTGCCATAGCAGGTGTACGTGACGACGGCAGCGCGCTTGTCACGGGACAGCTCTGCTTCTTCGCGCTGGCGCCTTTGCGGGCGCAATTGCTGTTGTCAAAGTCGAACACAAAGAGACAGGAAGCGACAATCATGAGGACAGGTGCTTGTCCATGCAAGACGGAGGAGCACGTGATCTTCCTTGAAAAACACATTCAAAATCGCTCACACATTCACATTCTCATTCACATGCATCCACACTCACACACGCACATTCACATGCATCCACACACAACACGCACCTCGCGCTGCTGGCGCTGCTGGCGCTGCTGGCGTTGCGGCCGCTGTTGCCGTTGTTGCTGCTGCGACTGCGAGCGGAACTTGGCGGCCGTGACATCAATCGGGAGGCGGCCGTCCTCGCACAGCTTGTCGATGACGCTCTCAGCCGTGTCGTCGTTGCACACGCTGTCAACCAAGGCCATGATGGCCTGCGGGTTGAGGTACGCGTCCAGGTTGCCCGCGTCCAGGTACGCTTCATGGACAAACGGGGTCATGGCTCTGCACAGTGTATCGTAGCGCTCGGTAAAGGCAGCTCGGTCTGTGGTGTGTGGCGGAGGGCCCGCGGCGGCCATGACGGGCGCATACGGGGCTGCATCTGAGGGCGCGAGAAGCATGTGCAGGAGGTCCTCAGACGAGACTGGGTCGTGCAAGGGTGACTGCTGGGTGTCGAGTGGGCACAGCTTGCCCGGGGAAAGGTTCCACGAGGGCATGGCTTCGAGAAACTCAACACCGCGGTAGTCGCTAAGCAGCTTGAGCATGGCCTGCTTGAAGCGGGTCTGGAACAGGCGGTTGTGGAGCACACTGCCTGCTGCGGTGGCGCCGTACATGAGCGCATCGGCCCAGGCGAGGCCCTTGCGTTCCAGGGAGATGGTGATGTGGGACGACCCTTGCTCCTCGGTGAGGGCAAAGTGGATGATGCCCTTTGGCATGTACATGGTGTCGCCTTCCCGCAGGGTGAAGTTGGTGCAGCGCATGCCGCGAAGCATGCTGTCTTGATAGCCTGTGCATCCCTGTTGGCGCTGGCTGCGGATCTCCTGCAGCTGGCCGAGCTGGGCCGCGTTGAAGCCGGCGAGCACCTCTGCCTCGGAGGGCGGGCGGTCGGCCGCCGTGCTGTTGGCGTTGCTGCGCTCGTTGGCACTGTCGTCGTCGTCGTCGTTGCTGTCACTCACATATGCGTCCGGCACACATGTGGTCCAGCGCTTCGAGCCCTGGAGCTGGATGACGAGGACGTCGTATGGATCCGTGTGTGGCAGAAGAGCGCGTGACTCGTCCTGTGTGGCGTAGTACACGTGCGCGGTGGAGTAGGTGCCGAAGACGTCGCGCACGCCCTGCCGCAACAGCTCCACGTTGTCCTTGACAGGGCAGTCCACGAGATCCTCGAAGCGCACGACCATGCCTGCTCCAGCGTCCAACTCATCATTCATTTGCTTGCACGACGTCACCTGCCTCGTGGCACCTTCATCCTTGATCTGCGTGTGTGTGTGTGTGTGTGTGTGTGTGTGTGTGTGTGTGTGTGTGTGTGTGTGTGTGTGTGTGTGTGTGTGTGGGGGTGGGTGGGTGATGGATCAAACAAGGGGGTGAGTCAACAGTAATGAGAATGAAGAGGTTAAATCACTCCTCGTGCAACAAACAACAAAGTACTTGACTCCAGGACAGCCCAGCAGAAACGCATGCCCGCCAAACAAACCACACCAACACCATGCAGCGACTCACAAAGATGCCGCCTTTCTTCTTGGGCTGCTTCTCAAAGGCGTCGCAGATGCGCTGGATGTCGCCGAGAGGCTTTGCCACGGCCTGCAGGCTGGGCGACAGGGTCTGTGCGCCGCCTGGCCGCGTGTTGACAAACGTCTCCTGTTGGTACAGCGTGTCGAAGAACAGGTCCGGGTGAACCGTGAAAAAGTCCGAGAAGTGGAGGGGCTTGCCATCGTCCTCGGCATCCCATTGCTGGTGCGCCCCTTGCTGTGGTTGTTGTTGCTGGCGGTGGCCGTCGCCTTGCATGTCATGGTGCAAGGCGTCGTGATCTGTGCCAACAAATGTGGTGCCGGTGCGTGCAGCATCGGGGCTGCTGCTCTCGGCGTGAAGTTGCTCGCGATCGAGGAACGCTTGCAAAACAACGGGGGCAGCCGGCCCTGGTGGAGCAGGTGGCGCGGTCACTGTGTGGTTGTGGTTGCTGTCAATGCTTCCGATGCTGCTGGTTGAGGTGCTGCCTGCAGCCACGCTCAGCAGGACGAGACACAGTGACAGCCCAACCAACCACGCTGTCTGCCTCATTGTTTTGGGTGTGTTGCGCAGCAGTAAGCTCCTGGTCTTCCTGGCGTTGGTGCTGTTGCTGTTGCTGTTGCTGCAGGTGGGTGCCACCCCCTTCCTCTTGGAAACAGGGGGCTGTGCGCGTGTTCTTGTTCTTCTTCTTCTCCTTGTACGAGGAAGAGGACGAGGCTGTTGCTCAGTCCTCATCATCATCATCGTGGTGTTTGCTGAAGTGCTCTCGGCACTCCGTGTTTTGGCAACCACACTCAAACGCCGCCTCACACAAGGCTGGTGAGGGTTCAAGGGGTCCTCCTTCTGCCTGTCGGTCGCAGTGTCGCTCGTGTCCACTGCTCGCGTGTCCTTCTCTGACGAGCAAAGCAAGCGGTGGCAGTGCTTGCTTGCTGGCCTCTTGCTTTGTCGGCCTCACCTCGACTCGCAGCAAGAAAGCAGGCAGGAGCAAAAGGAAAGCAAACCAAGGGGGAAATGTGCGTGGCGGTGGCTGGGTCGTCGCAACAATAATTTACCCGCGTGCACAGCACACACAGAAGAAGCGCCTGAGAACAAATTTCCCACGCCCTGACGCTTGCCTTTTTTTTTTGTTCTGCCTGGCTTGCTTGCTTGCGACCACAGACACGAAGCATTTATTCTCGATCGTTCTTTGCTTTGCTTGCGTGCGTGTGTTTTGTGGCGAGTGGGTGGGGCGGCTGTGGCGGATGTGGATACCTTTCGCCAATCTTCGTAACCTACCTGACGTGGACAAATGGGACAAAAACGCACAGCATCGGTGTAAAACGCGACCACATGTTCTCAAGTAGGAGTGAGCAGGAGTGCAAAATAGGCACTTGGGTCGATGCAGCGGGTCATAATTTACAACGGTAGAATACGACAACACAAAATTAAAAAGGGAACATTACAACTGAAATCAGGGTTGGAAGTGTACGTACGACTCACGACATACAGAAATATTGCGTTGTGTGTGTGTGTGTGTGTGTGTGTGTGTGTGTGTGTGTGTGTGTGTGTGTGTGTGTGTGTGTGTGTGTGTGTGTGTGTGTGTGTGTGTGTGTGTGTGTGTGTGTGT